TTGAATTAAGGAAGGAAATATCGTCTTAAAATATTGTGATAAGGGTTACGAACTCCACTATCATACGTACCTTCCTTGGTTACTATACACACACGTGCCGTGTTTCGAGCGTGTGGGCTTTCTTGGTCACGGATCCTGAAATTGTGGGATGCCGGAAAATTGTGGATATGTTGGCACTCGGACCCCCTTGATGGGGTGTTTCGTGGACCCTGAGGGGTGGTAGTCTGCGCGCGTAGGACTTGTCACAGGTATATGAGTCTTGAGGGTCTCGGCTGTACATGCTGGCTGAGAGTTCATCCCCCAGTTGGAGGGCTCGTCCCCTAGCCACATCGTTGTTCTCCATGTGGTCTAGTTAAACAATTCCCAGTTGGATTGTTTTCCCCCAGTACATGATGTGCACCATCATATGTACTTTCCTTTGGATACATGGATATGGATACGTGGGTATGTCAGAACCCGAGCATACCTTAACGGGGTGTAGACCCTTGATTGGGTAGTTTGCGTGCGTAGGACTTGACACAGGCGTACGAGTCCTGAGGGTCTCGGCTGTACGTGCTGGCTGAGAGTTAGTCCCCCGGTTGAACGGCTCGTTCCCTAGTCACATGGTTGTTAAGGACTCCTCCATGTTTTCTAGTCAAACGATCCCTGGATTGGATTGTTTTCCCCTAGTACATGATGATGGTGAGAGGTGGATGAGATTATATATGTATAATTATATGGACACACATATTACATAGGTATATGTGGATTTGTTTTCGGATATCCGTGAGGTTGTGCTTTGTGATTACCCTACATGGGTATGAATGTCTGAGTCCTGGATTGGGAAGTGTGGTTTGGCAACATATGCCTTGGATAGGGTATGGTTGCGGGGAAAGAATTGACAAAAGAAAGAAAATGATAAAGTGTTCAGGGGTTGCCTTGTTGAATTTGAGATAATAAGGAATCTGAAGTCATTCGTGGTTTTATCTTAAAAGGAAAAATATTGTATATTACCGGAGTTGTGACTGTTGTTGGAAGAACTACGTGTGGCTTGATCCCTCACAAGGGGTACGTAAGTAGCCTAGGGTCGTACCTAGGTACAGGCGCAGACTAAATTTTAATTATGTTGTTTTATTGAGTTTGGTTTTGACCTTGTCGTTGGTCCTGAAACTCGATTGAAACCGAGGTGCGATTAAATAATTATTCATACTCCCGTTTGGCTAAGGGAGGGTTGTGTGAATGTGTTCTGGTCAAAACAGGTATAAAACCCATTTTGGATTGTTGTACGAATTGGGCTGAGGCATTAAACTACTTGCGTTTGGGTTAGGAGGTTAAAACCCCGCATGATGGATATTTGGGAAAGGTAGATTATGTAAATTGCAATTGGCATTCATAATTCTGTTTGAGTTTATTATTTGCCTTGGTTAAAGTATTATTTGATTTAAGAACATTGTTGGTGGTTCTATTTCGAATTATTTGAAGGCCGGATGCCTATTACGTAAAGTTGCATGTTATTATCTTGTGTATACTGCTATTGGGATATATGAATTGTGTCTTTAACAGGTTAAAATTTGGGAAGTGCTCAATTTACAGGGGAGACTGCCGAAATTTCGACAGAAAGTCTCGTACCCTTCTTCCTTAATTTTGGAAAAGAGGTTATAGTTTCAGAAGTGGGCCTGGTATCGGTGTGATGTCGGGAATTCTACAGAATTCGTCTCAAGTTCCAAGGAATTCGGAGCGGGTCCTGTCATGTACCCTCCAACTCCTCCTTATTTCCTCCCCCTTCTCTCTCTCTCTCTCTCTCTCTCTCTCTCTCTCTCTCTCCTCTCCTCTCTCTCTCTCCTCTCTCTCTCCTCTCTCTCTCTCTCTCTCTCCTTATTTTGATATGACATTGGAAGCTAATTATTGGTTAGAGGGTTTTGATCCTATGAGTTTACTTCTCTATTATAGAGTAGTACGGTACTACCACATCAACATGTGATACTCTTATTCAAATTTTGCCACATGTCATATTTAAAAGAAAATTAAAACTATTTTTACAGCTGGACTTTGACCCTCCAATTTTGCCCTTTTATTATAAATAATAATAATTAAAAAAAAGCCAAAAAGGAAAGAAAAACTCCAGGCAACCAATATTGGTAGTAACCCTACCCTGCCTCTCCTCCCACTCTTTCCCTTATCTATCTCTGCCAATTGAAGTTTTCTTCTTCTTCTTCTTCTTTTCTCAGAAGTATCAAGAATCCCACCTCTCTCTCTCTCTCCTCTCTCTCTCTCTCTCTCTCTCTCTCTCTCTCTCTCTCTCTCTCTCTCTCTCTCTCTCTCTAGCCACTACTTCATTTTATAGTTTGTTTTAGTTTCACATCCCAAAAGCACTTGGGGATTTTACTTGAGTTTGCTTTTCTGTAGAGTTTTTCCCTCATGGTAATATTCAGAGTGTGATGGTTGGAATAAAAAGTAATAAGGAGAAGTTGGAACATGAGGTTTTGACGGGGAGGAAGAAAACTCAATGAGGAAACTGAAGGATTGGAGAGAGGGAAGAATATAACAGAGATGGGGGCGGGGGGGGACTACCAGTTGAATGATTTTTTTTCCTGTTATTTTCTAATTTTATTATGAAGGGTAAACTTAGAAGTTAGAATCCAACTGTGTAAATAGTTTTAATTTTCTTTTAAATATGACACGTGGCAAAATTTGAATATAAGTATCAATGTTGATGTGTTAGTATTGTACTACTCTATAATCTCTGCTTTTCTCTAATGCAATTACATCTTGAGGAATGCTAACAACCTTCTCTCTAATCTTCTCCTTTGGACCTTCTCCATTTTTTTGCTTAACATGTGTCATTCTTTTTACATTTAAAACAATGTCATTAATATATTTTACAAACTAACTTTGTTTTTCAAGTTTACTCTTATTAAATGTATTCAATTTATCCAAACAAATTTTACAACTTTCTTACCATCTTATTAAAAAAAATTAAAAATAACCCATCAATTTTTTTTAAGAAAAATTTTTTCCGGAAGGATAAACAAACAACCTAGTCCTCCTTTTTTTCATTTTTTATTTTAAAAAAACAACTCCTGGGGGGAAGAAAAAGTAAAAAAAAAAAAAAAAAAAAAAAACACATTCCTCTAAAAGCAGACATTTTCTTACAATAAATAAAAAAAAATGTCATTAAAAAAATAAACTAATATGGTAAGAAAGTGGTGAATTTGTGTGGATAAATTGAATACAATTAATAAGGGAAACTTGGAAAGCACAAAGTTAGATTTATAATATATTAATGAAATTGTTTAAGGGTAAGGAGAAGTGACACATGTCAAGCTAAAAAGGGAGAAATATCCAAAAGAGAAGGTTAGAGAGAATGTTACTAGCATTGCCCTTACATCTTTCTGAAGATACAAAAAGATTTTGAAGTTTTAATTTTGATTGCCTTTTAGTTTCTCAACAACCACACAAAGCTTTGAGGATTTAATTTGGTGTGTACGTAAAAGGAAGGCGAACTAATTTGTGCAGAGGGTGTTCTATGATTCTGAAACTGAATGTAAAGCACTACAGGTGTGATTGACAAAGGTTTGAAATTTTTTATTACACTATGGGTTTTATTTGTTTATGTTACATGGTGCCTCTCTTGGAAGCTCAATCCATACAATTGGAGCATCTTTTGGCAGTTGGTCATGTTCAAATATCGCCTAGGTTTCGTCTCGCTATGTTGTCCAAACCAATGTGTTTTGGAAATTAAATTTGGACGCTCAAGCATTTCCCAATCAGTGAAATACTTGTAAAAGTTGCAACTGCAATGCATTTAATATTCTCCATTCCTTAATATAAATTATTAGATATGCAATATCGTTCTTTTATCTCTATTTATAATATGATTAGCTGTTCGTTAATACGATTAGTTTTCCGCTTCTATTAACCTGGCTACATCCTTCCAACCAACTTTATAATCACAATGCCTAATCACTATATGATCTCAAGGAATTAATTAAAATTATTTGTCATGGGACTGCTGTCCTCTTGTCTCTTCTTTCTTTGTAAATCTTTTCCAGAAGCAGATTTATAGAAAAAGTTCAAATTTTTATTTGATATTCTCTCTCTGGGTTGCTTGCTTATAATTTGTGAAATTTGTGAACAAAAAAAAATGTCTTTTTAAAACACTTAGCATAATTGTTATGTTTTCACATAAAAAATATTGTGTTGGGAATGTATTGTGCAAAAATGTATTTGTGGCAATTAAAAACTTGGGGGCTACCTATTCTAGGGTTTTAATTTTGTATGAACATCTCACCCCACCCCAGTAACCACGTCCAAGAGGTTGAATGTGTAATTTTGTTTATGTAACGAATTGGCAATGAGCACGGTTTTCAAATTGTATAATTTTTAATAAGAATAATTTACCCATGAGCATGATTTTAAAACCTTGTGTAGCCACAATGTAAATCAGTCTATCTACACTTTGTTATTTGTCAAAATAAAAGCACAAAGGCTTCATTCGGGCTCTATACTTGGCACGAAGCAAACATTTTGTGACTATATAATCAATGGAAGTGCATAGAGGAGAATCCACCAAAGTGGATGCACCATGAAAATCTTCATAGAGTACGATTATCAGTGTTTTGAAAGCAAGAGGCACAAATAAAATTCGGCTTTTAGCCTAATTTTTTAGCGGGACAGATTAGAAGGAGAAGAAAAATGTCTAAAATAATGCCCAAAAAATTATGAGGAGTAGGAACCATAAAAAAATGAAAAAATTATTTTGGATATAAAACATGGCAGTGGTGGAAAGGAAGAATGGGAGCAGAACCTGTCGAAAATAAGCCCAAAAATTGAGGAGCAGCGAACAATAAAAACAATAAAAAAGATGACAAAATTTTATTTGGATATAAACATGCGTGGTGGGAAAGGAGGAATGGGGCAGAAGAAAGCTGTGAAAATGACGACAACATTTATTTGTCAAATATCCTCATTTGATCCAATTTGATCAAATGAACAAAAGGAAAATTCATTTGATCAATTTCTCATAAAGCGTTGCCTACATAATTGATACAATTTAAATAAAGTTGACACAAAATTTAACGTGTTGGATGAAAATCACTCTTTAAAAGGTTTTACATTAGGACCAAGAGGTCATTTTGTAATCACCTTATAAGTCAAGTGTGGCGGCCACTCATTCTGATTATGCACGTGTTTATAAACTAAACACTGGTTTTAGGCAAAGTTAAAAAGTAGCCGTTTCTTATCACTAAAAAGACTGCTGGATACCTATATTGTAAAGGGAATGCTAGGGAGAACATTTTTGACCATATTGGGTACCATCTGAGGGCTATGGAGTTGGCCAGCCCCATATTAATGAGTTTTTACATTTTTAGTCTGTTATTATTTTGGGATTAAATACAGAAAACCACAAAACTTATAAGGGTCCTTACAATCAACCCAAGTTTCTTGACAAAGTTTGACCGGACTATTTTTTTTTTTTTTTTTTTTTTTTTTTTTTTTTTTTTTTTTTTTTTTTTTTTTTTTTTTTTTTTTTTTTTTTTTTTTTTTTTTTTTTTTTTTTTTTTTTTTTTTTTTTTTTTTTTTTTTTTTTTTTTTTTTTTTTTTTTTTTTTTTTTTTTTTTTTTTTTTTTTTTTTTTTTTTTTTTTTTTTTTTTTTTTTTTTTTTTTTTTTTTTTTTTTTTTTTTTTTTTTTTTTTTTTTTTTTTTTTTTTTTTTTTTTTTTTTTTTTTTTTTTTTTTTTTTTTTTTTTTTTTTTTTTTTTTTTTTTTTTTTTTTTTTTTTTTTTTTTTTTTTTTTTTTTTTTTTTTTTTTTTTTTTTTTTTTTTTTTTTTTTTTTTTTTTTTTTTTTTTTTTTTTAAAACCGACGATACAAACTTTAGAAATTCTTTTTTGTCATTTGGTTTCATGGAAAAAAATGCCAGATCCCTTCTAGCTTTATCACCGTCCCTGTTCATCCATAAACCTCTTCGTATGCCCATTCTTTCCAAATCAAGACGAGCTTTGATCGTGTCCTTTGTCTTGCCCTCGATGTCTAGAATCGTACCTATCAAAGTGTCAAACACATTTTTCTCAACATGCATAACGTCAAGATTGTGTCTCAATTTTAGTTTCGACCAATATGGGAGCTCAAAGAACATAGACTTGTGCGTCCAGTTCATATGTGTAGAAGGTCTGGTTCGACTAACTGTTTTGCCGAACGGAGCAAAATCCAAACGGTTAAGCTGTTCCAAGATGTCATCACCAGACCATTCTCTAGGTCTAAGGCGAGGCTCTTTGTTCCCGTCGAACTCTTTATCCTTTTCCCGCCATTCGTGGTCCCATGGCAACCATCTCCGATGACCAAGATAACAAACTTTTCCGGCATGCCAACTAGAAGTTACATCTTCCTTGCACATAGGGCATGCCATATAACCCTTTGTGCTCCACCCAGAAACCATTGCATATGCGGGAAAATCATTAACAGTCCACATCACTGCTGCCCGCAAAGTGAACATCTTCCCAGTGGATTTATCGTACGTACGCACACCGTTTGCCCATAAATCCTTGAGCTCATCAACCAACGGCCTTAAGTAAACATCGATTGACCTGCCAGGATCCTCAGTTATCAAAACAGTCAACATCATGTATTCTTTTTTCATGCATTTCCAAGGCGGCAAATTATATGGAAATACGAAAATCGGCCAAGTGCTGTGGTGTTGGTTTAGAACCCCGTACGGATTGAATCCGTCAGTGGCAAGTCCCAATCTAACATTTCGAGGATCAGCAGCAAAGTCAGGGAACGTTCGATCGAACTCTTTCCATGCTTCCCCATCTGCAGGATGCCGCATCACATCATCGTCTACCCGTTTTTCCTTATGCCATCTCATGTCTGTGGCAGTATGCGTCGACATATACAATCGCTGAAGCCTAGGTTTCAGAGGCAGATAACGCATGACTTTTTGTGGGATCTTAGTCGTTCTATTCTGAGATGTCATTTTGAACCTCGACTCATTGCATATAGGGCATGTATCCAATGTTTCATACTCTTTGTAGAATAACATGCAATTATTTTTGCAAGCATGAATTTTTTCATAACCCAATCCAAGACCATTCAACACCTTCTGCGCGTGTTTATGGTCTTTCGGCAAACAATTGTCCGTCGGAAGCATTCTCTTGAAAACCCCCAAAAAGTAATCAAAACACAAGTTCGACATACGATATTTTATTTTTCCGTGCATTAGCTCCACAATGGCCGTGAGAACGGAAAAGCTCTTGCACCCCGGGTATAACTCTTGGTTGGCATTTTTTAATAGTTTTTCATATTGTTCGAACTCTGCACTGTCCATTGGTGTAGGCACGTCATCTTCCCCTTCCTGATTGATGTTCGTCGATGCAAATGGAAAAACATCGTTTATAATATCCATCACTTGTTCATTACGATCCACAATAGGTTCAACATTGTCCACTCTTATGGCATTTGAAGACGAAGCATTGTCTAATTGTTCTCCGTGAAGGTTCCAAATGCTATATGTCTCAATCATTCCATTCCTTACTAAATGAAATCCAACATTTTCAATTGTCTCCCACAATGTGTTGTTACACCTCCTACAAGGACACCGGATTCTAGTTGCACCCGGGTTGTGTCTACGTGCAAACTCAATGAAATCCTCGATTCCATCCAAGTATTCGTCAGCGCATCTATTCGGGTTCTGTATCCACAGTCTGCTCATAATTCCTGGAACCACAATCACAACACAACAATTACAAAAAACTTCATACGAAGTTGTAATGTCACCTTATGCCTCCGGTAAGGGTCCTATCCCATTCGGGAATGCATAGTCCTATCACGTAACCTACGGCTACATGAGATTAGATTTCGACGTGGAAGAATTTCAGCAGCATCTCGATACAGTTCTTGAGGTGGGCATAGGTATAAATACCTACGTACCACCCGAAGAACATACCGAGATGACACCGAAATTTCCACAATCGAAACCTAGTCCTGTAGCCGTAGATTACGTGACAACACTATGCATTACCAAACTGTCCAAATAATGGGACAATTCAAGAATTAATTGGACCGCAGTCATGCATTACGCATCCATGCACGAAATCCAACTAATCTCGAACGGGAAACTAAGTTTTAATACAATAAAAAACAAAGTACGAAGTTAATTTCAATTAACTTCGTACATCACAACACATTGTGCTACGTAATGGACAATTTAACAACATAATATATATATAATTTCACAACAAAAAATATTAAAATTATCAAATACCTTCTCAATCGTTTTCCACCAATCGCAAATTACAATTATCCCTAAAAACAACGAAATTAATTGCGTTAGTGTTAATTTAAATTAATACTTTCAAACTAACGACTACAAATACATACCTATTAACCGTAGTCAACTCCCAGCATAAGCAGAAGCTGCAGTAGATCCAGAGGCAGGCAGAGCAGAGTTTTTTTTTTTTTTTTGCCTCTGCAATGGCAGAAACCAGCATATGAAGGAGAAGAGTTTTGCGCGACGAAGACATAATTCGTCGCGCAAAAAATGAAAACCTCCGTCGCTCAAACAGGACACTTTCGTCGCGCAAAATCTCAGTTTCGTCGCGCAAAAAAATTCTTCCGTCCCGCAACTTCGTGCCGACATCCAGGTTTTGCGCGACGCAACGCGTTTCGTCGCGCAAAGTGTTCTCGCCTTTATTGTCGCGCAAAATTAGGAAGCCGTCGCGCAAAAGATCTCTTTTGCGACGATTCTGGTCGTCGCGCAAGTGTTTGTCGCCAGAGATAATTTGGCTGGATGTTACATAACTTTGCGCGACCAAATTGATTTTCGTCGCGCAAAACAATTTAGCGCGACGACTTTGTTGTCACGCAAGGTTTTGGCGCCATAAAAACTTTCCCGCGTTTTTTTTTCCCTCCCTTTGCGCGACGAGAGTTTTGTACGTCGCGCAAAGTTATCTTGCGTGACAAATTGAATTCGTCGCGCAAATTTTTCACACTTTGCGCGACGATTGTGTTTTTCCGTCGCATATTGATCTCTTGCGCGACGAATACTTCTTCGTCGCGCAAAATGCGGTCGCGCAAATAGGAAAACGTAGTAGTGTGGGTGAGTTTTAACATATATTATTTTTATTCAATAATATGTGAGAATTATGTGTATAATACATGAGTTTTATGTATATTATTAAATTTTTTTATAAAAAACAATATGTGTATTTAACATGAAAAATATGTATGTACATGTAATATATGAGTATTGTAAGTTTGATTTTTAAAAAACGTGAATTTTACCGAGTCTTAAGACGTGTACAAAACACGGATTTATTATTAAAAAATACATGCGTACGTGTATAATATAGTATTAAATGTGAAAGTGCTAAATTCTTTATATGGGTAATAACTATGGAAAATTAAAAATCCAAAAGGGGACAATAGAGACTCAGGTAGTGGCCTAATCGTAATGGATAATGCTCTAAACCATTCTCATCAATAAACGAAAATAGGGGACAAATTTAAAAGAAAAAAAGGATCCCAATATATACATAAAGAGTATAGTCGATCGGCTATACTATTTATTAAAAAAAATTATAAAGAAAAAGAGCCTCGTAAGGCAGCACGGCTATGCTATTTAACAAAAATAAAAATAAAAAAGGGGAGTTAGCCGATCGGCCGTACTATTTTATTTAAAAAATGGAAAAAAGCCCAGTACGGCCGTGCGGCTATACTATTTTTTAAAATTATACAAACCACGTATAGCCGCGAGGCTATACTATCTTTGATAAATAAAAAAATAAAAAAAAGCCCAGTACAGTTGCGTTTTAAAAAACAACTCGAGTATAGCCACCCGGCTATACGATTTAAAAGGAAAAAGAAAACAGGGCCTGCCTAGCGCTTATGTGTGCACGTGTCAAAAACTGTATAGCCGTTCGGCGATACTATTTTATTTTTTTTTTAAAAAGTGGTATAATTAATTAAAATTTTCTAATATATATTATTTTTATTCAATAATATGTGCGAATTATGTGTATAATACATAAATTTTGTGTGTACTACTGAAAATTTTATAAAAAAATATGTGTTTTAAACATGAAAAAATATGTACGTACATGTACAATATGAGTATTGTAAGTTTGCTTTTTAAAAAACATGAATTTTACCGAGTCTTTAAGACATGTACAAAACATTGATCTATATATTATTGAAAAATATGTGCTTACTTGTATAATACAATTAAACATGAAAGTGTTATTGTTTTAAATTCATGTTTTCTATTGTTCCGCGAACCATTCTTGCTCCCACAACCTCCGAGAAGATAAAGTACCAAATGACCAGTGGATGGATCCCTTCAGTGCATTGCACAACTTATTTCACTTTCAATGCACATCTAGAAGAAAGATGGCAAGTTGCCTAGCGCCTATGTGTGCACGTGTCAAAAACAGTATAGCAGTACGGCGATACTATTTTTTTTTTAAAAAAACCGTAGTATAGCCGGTCGGCTATACTCGTTAAATACAAGTTGTGCCATTTTCTTCCCATGCTTGGTATGTGAGTAAGTTATCCTTCCAAACATCTCACACAGGCCCTTTCCTTGTTTAAGAATCTATTCTGAGAACAGCAATCAAAAATTTAGCCCATCCCTATTATATGTTTCTTTATTCGATGCAGTGGATGTGAAGTTGGGCCCAAAGATCATGTGCGGAGCCTGAGTTTCTTCTGCTAATCAGATGAGGCAAAAAGGTTGCAAAAAATATTAGAATATTGGTTATGGCCTTTGGGAGGCATAATCATATCCACACTGCAAAGTGTTTTCTTTTTCTTTTTCTTTTCTTTACTGTAAAGCTGGTTTCCGTACTGTGAAACTATCATCACCATTTCTGCCTATATAATTAGAAGCAAGTGCATTGCAATTGATATATCAATATCAGAGATACATCTGTGAATGTGAGGGAGAAAAAAATTCAATAACTGTAGATCGTTTGCATATGTAGCCATTAATTCTTTTGTGCAGTCTCAGAGTGTTTACATGAAGCACAAGAGATTGGATTGCAGCCAAGGATGACTTGCCGGCATTTACAGTACTCTTGCTTTATGCAGCTGAGGTTTGCCGGCAAGTTGTCTTTGGCTACATTTTGCTCTCTTCTTCTCATGTCAGCCTCTGAGACTTGGGATTGTTTTAGTGCTATCAGGGGAGAGTGGAAGCGTATATACTCTTTAATTACTTGAGCTACAAATTTCTTGTTTTTTTTTGTTTTTTTGTTACCAAACTATAAGAAAGGTCCTCTCTGATCCCAATTAATGAGCAAAACTCACCTTTTTGTTTTTCTTTTTTTTTGTTAGAACGGATGTCAAGATCAAGAGCATTTCAATTATTGGTGGTGTTGATGGAACAAGTCCTTCCAAGATGAGGGCGTAAGTTCGAACTTTAATGTTTTCTACCTAAGGTCTGGATTTCTTATATTGGTGTAGTTCGAACAAAACAAATATCGAAACAGTCTTTGATAGGTGTTTAATGTTCACTTCATCGCATTTTTGCAATGGAAGATGTTGGTTTAGTTGAGGCTCATGTAATCTCTCTTAATATCAAAAACAAAAAACAAATCTATGTTTTTACACTTGGTCGCTCGTGACTCTGATTGTTTCCCTCCTTGGCTGATCCCACATGAAAAAAGCCTACATGATCTCAATCAAAACTAACATGACTATATTCACCCTAAGATATCAATTAGGAAATAAAAGATGGCAATTGCAGTTTTGCAGTGCAGGCCATATAAGTTGAACCTTTGAACATCAGCACTATGAGCCAGTTTGGTACAGCATTGCCTCCAAAGCTATCATATAACCATATTTTGATCTTGCCATCCACTGATGTTGGTAGCATTAAAAAAAGTGTAGGATAATATTATGCAGGAAACGGAAAGTAAATCAGATGATTCAAAACTTAAACATCACCAGAACCACAACATCAATACCCAAAGTGGCCCTTACATGGACATTTTCTTTGGTATGAGGACAGACAGAACAGACAGGAGCTTCATGACCTTCAAAAGTAAACAGTCTTTGGCCACAAAACACATCCCAAACCTTACACATACGTTTATGAAACCAACCTTGATGGTCTTGTCATCAGCACAAATTATGACCAAAAGTTGGTTGTGAGGGGAAAAGAATGCCAAATCATTTACACTTCCCAAGTGAGCATCAATCTACGTAAGAAAAATGATGGGTTAGGTTTAAAGTCACATACTCAAAAGTTTTCATAACTTACTTCCAATTGTTGTTGCCTCCATTATAAGAATATAATTGCACAATGTGCTTTGCATATGCAACCCCTGTTCAATGAAGAACATGACGGCAGTGAATATGAACTACATGAAATGAAAATCAGCAACTACACACCATTTAAGTATGAGAACATTCTCACCAAATATAGAACCATCAGGACTCCATCGGATATGATTAACAGATGCATATGAATCTTTGACCAGAGCTTCCTGAAATAATTGACATTGGTTCAAATTTCGGATCATATCCGTAAGGTTGAAAGAGTAGTGCATAATCCAGAAGCGAACGCACCTTTAAGGCCATCGGGCCTGCGTCAAGATTCCAGACTCTAAAATTTCTCGAAAGCAACTTTTCCCCGGAACTAACATCCCATGGTGGTCCTATGTCTCCAACACAAGTTCCAACTGAAGAATCACATTAGCAGGATTCATGAGTGAACTATCAAAAGTAGTTACCGCACACGATCATCCTAAAAAGACAGGAAATTTATAATGATGGGAGAAAAAAAAAAAAAAAAAAAAAAGTTTCTCATTACTTAACATGGAAGAATTGTCTGCCAAGTGGGATGAAAATCCATGCTCATTGGAGATGAGCCTTCATGTAGTGTCAGGCAACAGTAGTGGGCAAACCATTGGGTATGGCACATGTGACTTTGGCCAGGATCAGTAACAGTTGATTTTAACTAAACAAATGAAAGAAGACCAAGGTCAAGAAACACAAGTTCTATTATGTAATTCTGTACATAAATTTGATTCAGATTACCTCATCCAAAATCGGAAAGAACATTTTTTTGGCCAAGCATGGATAGTCAATGACCTCTATAGCTGTAGCCACAAAAATGTAACCAAAAGTTAATAATAACAACTATGCAATGTGTAAAATGACGACACACTTCAAACATAAATTAGAGGGTACCAGTACCCAACAACATCCCTTGAAGAACTAAAATAAAATACCTAGGCTCTTTGCAGCATTGAGAGATACTGCTCCTGGAGAAAGCGCACCTTGTGTTACAGATAAACTTTTGGCTCAGCAGAAGAAGTTGCAAGTGGATTTGATGTTGCTTGTGAAGGCTAAATACATAAGGTTAGAGCAATCTTAGAAGAAACCAGAAAGACTAAACAAAATCTTGTTTAAAACAAGAAAAAGAAAATCAGCTAGTGTGCTGATGAGCAGGAAACATATTGGTTAATGAGGACCAATAAGAAAAGAATTTCAGTTTACCAGAACATATCTTACTTGCAAACTGTTCCCAGTCAATAGAGACAAAGACAAACAGTCCTGCCATTCACAAACATGATCAATGAAAAGGGTTTTAATAACTGGATTTGGACAAAAATCAGTAAGTGTAGACACCGAGCAGGATCATTGGTTAATGAGGACAAATACTTAGGAAAAATAAATTTATGTCACCAGAACATATCTTACTTCCAAATTGTTTTCAATTGGTAGAGGCAAAGGAACATCTTCCTGTGGTTCACAAACATGATCAACGAAAAGAGTATTAATGACTGGATTTGGACGAGAGTTTTTACACTGTTTATGTTGCCAATTCAAGCTGTCAAGTTAAACACACAAGTCAGTCTCTCTCCCAATTACAAAAACCAGAAAGTGACTAAATCTTTTACTAAATATGAGAATAACAAGTACTCTCTCTCTCACACAAACGCACACACACATATGTATGAACATATGCAATCACAAAATAGAAAGGAATACCAAAACTAGGAGGAAGCATTACCTTTGGTTAATGAGATTATGTAATCTACGACTTTTGATGCTAGGATGCTTCAGTTTGCCACGGAAAACTGGATTTGCCTCAGTTATTTGCCTGAGTTCTTTCATCATAGTCTTCCTCATAGACTTTATATCTCCACATATAGAGATTGCCTTATGATCCCTGTTGTATTGAACCCATACACATGTGATGCTTTTCTTTGAAAAGCTCCTCATCAAAAACTTTGAGATCCTTCGTGAGGATATCTAACGCCTTGGTGCGACAATTGCTGTCAAGAATGAACCAAAAACATGCAGAACATGGTATTTTTTAGGAGATTGTTTATGTATAGATTATAAGTAGCTTTAAAAAAAATTGATGTTCTCACTTGTCAATGGCCTCAAGGAAATTTTCCTTTCTGATCTGGAAATAGATCTTCATTGAGTAGTGATTGTTATTTCTGTTTCATATTGACATATTGGGGACATCAAATCAGGTTGAGAGGAAAAATTGTGAGGGTCATTTTTTGAAAAATTAAACTTAGTTTACCTAGACTGCAAAATGGTTCTTTTTCATTGCTCATTAAGTTTGACTCCAGCTCCAGTTAACTGCATCTAGAATATTGGTTGTGATCATTATTTCATCCCTTTCAGTTTTCTTCTCTGTTTTTCCCACCCAGCAGCAGCACCCCACACAAAAATCTGCAGGGCCAAAATGACATCGTTAAATAACCAAAGTCACATTAGAGTATAAGGCATGTCTGAAAGTAATTGTAGTTTCCAATGTGCATCAGCACCAGAAGAAACTAGTACATTCAGAGTGTTCGAGAAGGAAAGGCTAGTGACTCTTTTGGCGTGACCCTCAAGCTTCCATGTAACCTGCAAAATATATAAATCAAGGCAATGACAAACTTTTCGGGTTAGCTTCATCACAACATCGAGCATGATTTTTGTTTTTTTTACAAGAACAAACAAACTACGTCGTCTGAGTGGAGATTGTATATTACAATGGTGGAATTGTCCATGCCAATAGCAACTATACTGTCATCTCGGGGGTGAAAAGCAAGACATGTTGCCGCAGGTGGTGGTGGCATGACTTTTTTCATCGTCTGCTTTTTTACGCAACAGATTTTTATGAGTAGAATGGGTTAGATCATGATAAATTTGCAAACAGAACCTACGCATATTGACAAACAAGATTTGGGAAGTTTCGGATGGGAAAAGAAAATTTCAAGAATACTGTTTGTGTTGGGTTTACCTTAAATGTTGTCATGTCAAAAATGGAGATCATCCCTCCTGTTGCTGATATGAGATATAAATCATTCTTGGACAAATCAAAGCAGGACATAGCCTCTTCAGGGTTGGTGCTGGGAAGGTCATTGTTCATCAGCTCTAAGCCACTCCTTGGTTTCCATATATTAGGGTGAACCTTGTGAGTTTGGGTAATCACTACAATTTTTGAGAGTATTCGAAGTGGGTTTTGGGTAATCACTCTTTTAGTATCCATTTTGGATCACAGGAAAAGCCCTGAAGGATGTCATTGGTCTTAGGTCCTCTTAAATTATTAAATAAAAAAAAAATAATTAAAGGGGGTATAGCCGCGCGGCTATACAATTTAAAAGGACCCGCCTAGCCCGCCTAGGCGGCCGATTTTTGGAAAACTTGAATGGCGTTTTTTCTCTTCAGATTTCTTTGATCCAAAGCATCCCAAGGTCATTGTTCAAACTCAGGATCAGATGAGACTTCATGTGCCCAGTAATTGAAACATAAATTAAAACCAAAATATGTGGTAAACCTGAACTGAATCTGAAATTTAAAAAGAAAAAATTCACCTTTTGGGTCAGTTAACCAGACCAACTCAGTTCGTAACCAAACTAATGAATACAACAAAAGAAACATGAAACTGAATATTTAGGTAAGAGAATATTTGTTCATCATCAGCTTCCTAGCAACCAAACATAACATAAACCAAAACAGAAAATGGAAAATACTGATTTTCAGAGACGCCTTTACGTTGTTGATAAACGTGAGTTGCTAAAACCCTAGCTTGATGTATTTGCAGGGATGCCAGACTCGCCAGGAAAAAAGAAATCTGAAGAAAAAAAACGCCATTCAAGTTTTCCAAAAATGGGCCGCCTAGGCGGGCTAGGCGGGTCGTTTTATTTTATTTTATAAATAGTATAGCCGGACGGCTAAACTCTTGAAATAATATATTTAAACAGTATGGCCGGACGGCTATACCCGTTAAATAATATATTTAAAAGGTGTAGGCGCGCGGCGGTATGCCTTCAATAATATATTTAAACACGGCTGCTGTAGAAGAAGTAGTGCTTCTCAGCATCTTTGATTATACTGGTTTGAAAATGGAATTTTGAGCAAGAAATCCCCTTCAAAACCCTAAGAAGCAACAAACCCAAGTCTCCAAGTGGACCAATCAGCCCAAGAAGCAACCCAACAATAAGTACCAAATTTCCCCAGCCTTTCATGCTTGCCAAGGTCTCTAAGTGAAGACCAATCTTTAAACACCAAAGGGAGCCTCTTCTCTTCTGATTCTCTCTCCCCACACTCAATCCTCATGAGCACCACACCGAAATTCCAAACAGTTTTCTCTGGTAAACAAGTCATAGAGTTCTCCAAACAAAGTGTGAAACAAGAACAAGTACCAGCAGCTCAGACAAAAAGGGTCTATGGTCATGGTGAAAGAAACAGAAGTAGAAGAAGAGTAGGGCCCAGCAAGAGCTTATCCGACCTGGAGTTTGATGAGCTCAAGGGTTTTATGGATTTGGGTTCAAAATTGGGGAACAAGATAGAGATGAAGAGGATCAGAGAAATAATAATAATAATAATAATATTGATCCAAGTAGTCATCATGTGGTTTCAAGTCCTTATCTGTCTGAGGCCGATGCTTTGGATCAAAGAAATCTGAAGAAAAAAAACGCCATTCAAGTTTACGAAAAATCGGCCGCCTAGGCGGGCTAGGCGGGTACTTCTTATTTTATTTTATAAATTGTATAGCCGCCCGGCTAGACTGTTTAAATAATATATTTAAAAAGTATGGTCGCTAGGCTATTCTCCTTTAATAATATATGTGAAAGGTATAGCCGGTCGGCTGTACTATAGCTGTCGTCCTTAACTAATATATTTAAAGCGTATAGCCGTGCGGCTATACCATTTTTTTTCATTTTTTCTTTCATTGCTATCTAAGCGAAGGGAACTACAATAATGTTACAGATAGAACACAAGCCCAGATCAGCTAATTACTGATCCATCACTTGCTCCATTAACAGTTTTATCTGTTTGTCGAATAACAAAGTGATCAACAATTTTAACGGTATTTAACGGATCCAGTTGAGCGGCAGCTGCTCTCCACTTGTTAGGAAACTTTCTAAGGTGGCTTATTTGTTGTGGCTGTCTTGGCTCCCTATCCCATTCAGGTCTAGCTTCCACTCTTTCGGGACCTGCATGTTTTAATTAGCTTTAAACTCTTAAAAGTCCCAAATACGCATCACATTCTTACCTTATCAACTGCAAGAGTGTAGACTTCAAGATCCCCGTCACTTTTGATGTGGAATCGGGTGAATGACTTGTAATTAGCAATTCGGAGGGAGGAGAAGGCTTCGTCAAAGTGTATGTGAAGCCAGTTCATGCAGATATATAATTAACTTCCAAGTACTAAAGAAACTACAGGAGTTGAGAACACCTAGAAATAAAGGAAGACGGAAGCATAATAGATTATGCCATCCCATTCTTGCATATATTGTTTCGGGTTACAGCCATAACCTGATAAGATTTCTTCATCGTCAGAATGCAACAAAGAAGAGTAAAAATAAGTTTGCAAAAGAGCTTTCCATACCTCTGGAACGTCGAATGCAGACATGAAATACTTGATGCATGCTGGATAGAGGCCAAAAGTCCATTGTATCCCAATGTCATATGGCTATCTTTTTAGGCAATTCTCAACAGAAACAAAAATGATTGAATTATCTGAAAGTTAAAATAATAGATGAACAAATATAACAGGCAAGGACAGAATAACTGCCAAGATCATAAATCACATTAGTATACAGGATGAGAAAGGTGTGCTTCTTCTCTGTTCATGTAGGTCTTGAAAGTCATACATAACAGAATAGCTGCAGCCAGGTGTGCAGACACATGAAGCTATACTATTTTTTTAAAAAATAGAAAAAAGCGAGTATCGCCGCCCGGCTATACTATTTTTACAAAAAAATTAAAAACCGAGTGTAGCCGCACACACGTAAAAAAAACCCCCCAGCGATTAGGTGCCCACGTGTCAAAATAAGTATAACCGCCCGGCTACACTAATTTTTAAAAATTTGGAAAACAAATTGAGTACAGCCGACCGGCTAGACTATGTTTGAAAAAACAAAATCAGAAAAATAATTTATTTTTATTAAAAAACAGGGACCACTTTACAACTTATAAGGTAGGTCACTATACAATATTTTAATATATATTATTTTTATTCAATAATAGGTGAGAATTATTTATATAATACGTTAATTCTATGTGTCTTATTGAAACTTTTGTTAAAAATACGTGTGTACATGTACACTATTAAACGTGAAAGTGCTAAATTCTTTGTTCGGGTAATTACTCTAGCCCTCTGTTTGGATGAGGGAAAATAACTCGGAATTTAGGTAAAGTCGGGAATTGAACAAGAGAAATTGACAATTCCCTTGTTTGGCAACTTTAACGCGAAACTTATTAAATGACGCATGGAAAAAATCATGGAAATTGAGGTATCAAATTCCCGAGTTTAATTTCCACCAAAATAGTCGTCATTTCACAATTTCCGTAGTGCGGGAATTCATATTTTCTAGTGTGCCAAAACTTACATAAAAAGAAAAACCCACCAAACTTTTCATTAAAAAAAAAATAAAAAAATAGCGCCAAAAACCAATGAAACTGAGTATAGCCAGAGAAGTAAGGAGAAGGAGTTCTTCTTGGGTTACCATGGTTTCTGAATGGCTATCAAAATTGGGTGTTTTTGACTAAATTTATGAATGTGTTGAATGGGTTTTGTGATCTTTGCGGCACTGTGGCTGGATTTTTGGGAAGTTTTAACAAAATACTCTATGCCCATGGATATTGGTGTGTGATTGGTGTTTATGGTACAGCTCTGTAGTTGTTTGCTAGCTTTATCACTTTGTGTTATCGCCTTGCTCTGTAGTTGTTTGTAAGCTTTATCGCTTTGTGTGAGCCATTAGATGTTGATTGTAAGCTACACCAACTTGCTCGTAAGTTGCAACTTGGCCAAGGTGCTCCTTCATTCTTTGGGACTTAAATTAAGTCTTATGATAGTGATTCATTGATTTCATAATTTATTCCTATACTTTTGTTTGCAACTTTTTAATCAAAGCCCTTTCAGTTTCTCTGGTCATTGGTCTTTTGCCAAGTAAAAAAGAAGTATCAGGGTCTTGATTGCTGATTGCTTCTAGTTCTAATTCCATAGGCACTCCCAATTGAGAAAAAAAAAAGTATGTTACTGATGTTCATTGCACGTGGGGAGTGATTTGGTTGCTAATATGCTTTGTTTGTTTAAGTTGAGTTATTTACTTCATCAAACGATATGTTATTTCATACTTTGAGGAATACCTTCTATGTCAGTTATCAGTTTTTTTGTTCTTTTGAAATATTTAATTTCTTTAATTTATAATTTACATGAGCTATCCAAAAATTGAAATTTTCAATTTCTGTCATTTACAAAATTCGACATACATAAATCCAAAAACTGAAATCTTCAATTGCCAGAAATTGAAATGACGGAAATCTAAATTCCGTCATTTTAAAATTCTATGTAATTTGCAATTCCTTCATCCAAACGGAGCATAGGTGTTTTAAACTACTCTTATCGATAATCGGGGAAAAATATTTAAAAGAAAAAAGGATCCCATTAAATTACTTATTTTTGTTTGGGTGTCTAAATTAAATTTATCCAAATCCCAAGAGCCCCAGGGCACAAGGCCCTAGTCTTTGATTGATATAATTATTATTAATCAAAGTCGAGCCTACAGCCCAGCCCATTAGCCCAACTTTCCAATGTTAACCACACTTACCAAACCATCTTCTCAAAAAGGGCACCTCA